GTGCCCGACAATCAGGTGCTGTGAAACCTGTACCAAAGTTATTCTAACAGCCGACTAACAACTACGAAAAAAAAGGAATTATGGACGTAAAATTATCGTCACAGTCAAATATAGTAGGAAATGCGCGTTTGAGTCACGTCGCGGTTCCTTTCTTTCATTTATTTAGAAAATTGAAGCTCACCTATAGGGTTCATTTTTAAAATCATAAGATGAAAATCTTTCGGAAATAAGGAACCAGTTAGTGTCATTTAGTGTCAGATCATTGTAATAGGTTCTTATCTCATTGTTCTGCTAAAGTGTGTGATTTTTTTTTCCAATACGACAAACCCAGAGAGGGGAAAGGACAAGGAAAACCATTTTGGGTGTTAGCGATCATTTTTTAGACTACACAGAAGGTTAAGTAGGATTTTCAGTCTGAATGCGATTAAATCTGACACAAGCAGCTTTTTTCATTTTATCTAGTTTGTAGCTTATATTCTTATAGACTTTTCGACCAATTTTATAAAACTCGAATACATTTTTATTCTGATGATGGTACTTTTAGGATCGAGGACGACTAATCATCAATTGAATTACTGTTGTGTGTTACCCTCCTTCAATAATTTTGTTATTATTATTATTATTATTATTATTATTATTATTATTATCATTATTATTATTCTAAAGCACACATACCTGCGATGATACAAACCAAACAGAAAACAAGGCAAAGAACAGCAACGAGCTTCATCGTGAGTTCTGTCTTTTCGCTGATAGCAGTGTCTTCTTCTCAGCCTCTTTGCGAAGAGAAACAAATGCTCTTTATGCTAGTTCAATGATAAATCCAATAAAGTTATATTTGCATATCATATGAATCATTCATCGAGTTACATGTCTATGAGGTAATGCATTTTTATCTATGAAGGCCCCTTGATTTTCAAACCATTGTTTTTATGATGTTTTCCGATAAGTTGATGGCCTGAGGGATACTTTTACGGGTTACGATTAATATTTGGCATTTTACGACTTCCAGGTAATTTTCTTCCTGTTTCGATTAAAGAAAGAATTTTAAGGCTGACTATTTTTACGACAAAGTTTACGCCTAACGGCTAAACTGTTTTGACCCTTTTACAGTTAACAGTTAACCCTGTTTACACCCTAACATTAGTATGCATAATCTCCATACTGTTCTCTATACATTTCCAAAGAAGCTGACAAGGACAATTTGTTTAACAATCAAGAGCTCTACGTGTTTATTTCCTCTATTCTCATGATCATGATCTCAAATGAATGCTATAAGCGCTCCTCTCGACTTCCCTTCGAAAAAAATTGTTCTTTTATTTTTTGCCCATGAAAAGGGTTTAGGACACGTGCTTAAAAAAATTGGTTTTAGTGTTCTCAAATTCTTTTTTCTGCGTCGCCACAAGCCAAACATTATTTTTGGCTGGACCACCCGTGTGGACA